AGCACATCCAGAAAGAATTTATCACCGAATCAAAATATCCCCAAGCCAGCGGTTTCTTCTTCATGGGAAAGAAAGACGGATCCCTCCGACCTTGCCAAGATTATCAATACATCAATGAATGGACAATACAAAATGCCTACCCTCTCCCTTTAATTCCCCCGCTTATTGCCAAACTTCGAAATGCGAAGTACTTCACCAAGATGGACATTCGCTCCAGATACAACAACATCCTGATTCACCCAGAAGATCGTTGGAAAGCTGCATTCACAACAGAGTTTGGTCTCTATGAACCAAATGTAATGTTCTTCAGACTTTGCAACTCCCCAGCCACATTCCAAGCATACATGAATCGCACCTTCCAACAAGAACTCAATGAAGGATGGTTGGTAATCTATATGGACGACATCCTTATCTTCTCAGATTCCCTTGAAGAACATCAGAAGCGAACCCATAGGATCCTGGAAATCCTAAGGAATGAGAAACTCTTCCTAAAACCAGAGAAGTGCCTTTTTGATGTACAAGAAGTTGACTATCTTGGAATGATCATTTGTCCAGGACAGATAGTGATGGACCCTGCCAAACTAAAAGGGATTGAAGAATGGCCTGTGCTGGAGAATGTGAAGGATGTCCAATCATTCCTCAGCTTCTGTAACTTCTACTGTCACTTCATCTCCCACTACTCCGACATTGTGAGACCCCTTGTAGACCTGACACAGAAGACCTCCATGTTCGAATGGGCATCTTCCTGCAATGATGCCTTCAACAAACTCAAAGAATGCTTCCTTTCTACACCTGTTCTTTGAAACCCTGATCCAACTCGGCAATTCGCCTTGGCCACTGATGTTTCCCTTGTCGCTACTGGCGCAGTACTTCTCCAAACCGATGAAAACAGAGTATACCACCCATGTGGGTATCTTTCCCAATCCTTCAATCCTGCAGAACGAAACTACCAGATCTACGACAGAGAGCTCCTTGCCATCATCCGCGCCCTGAAGAACTGGCACCACTACCTCAAAGGGAACCCACACCCTGTTATTCTTTTCACCGATCACAAGAATCTCCTTTATTTCCATTCTTCTCAGAAACTTACCCGTAGACAAGCCAGATGGCAACTGACACTTTCCAAATTTGACCTAGAATTTCACCATGTCCCTGGGAGCAAACTAGCCACCCCAGATGCTCTTTCATGATGACCAGATCACCTTCCTGATTCTCTTGATAACACAGATATCACTCTTCTTCCCCATTCTCTTTTTGTTCGCCTTTTAGATACTGATTTTGAAAATGCCCTCTGTTCGCCTGATCCTATCTCTGATCCGATCATATTAGCTGCCAGCAAGGCTCTAGATGGCCTCTGCCTTCCTCCTATGACTTCCTCCCTTTCTGATTGGTCTTTTACCGATAACATATTACGATACAAGAACTGCGCTTACGTACCTCCTCATCTCCACTCCCATGTCCTTTCTCTTCACCATGATTACCCCACTGCAGGTCACCCGGGTCACTTCAAAACTGAAGAACTCATCAAACACGATTACTGGTGGCCTCAGATGGGCTCCTTTATCCGAAAATATGTAGAGGGCTGTGCTATATGCCAGCAGATGAAATCCAATACCCACCCGACTACACCACCCCTGACACCGATTCCATCCTCTGCCATGCAACCATTTTCCCAGATCTCTGTGGATCTCATCATGGACCTCCCTGTTTCCTATGATTTTGATTCCATCATGGTCGTGGTAGACCATGGTCTTATGAAGGGGGTAATTCTTGCTCCTTGCAAAAAAACCATCACTTCTGAAGGAGTTGCCCAACTTTTCTTCAAGAAAGTCTTTCTCCAATTTGGCCTACATGACAAACTCATCTCCGATTGTGGCCCACAATTCACATTGAAGTTCTCCAAAGAGCTTGGAAGACTCCTTGACTATGAAGTAGCCCTTTCTAATGCCTATCATCCCCAGACTGATGGACAGACTGAACGACTAAACCAAGAACTTGAAACTTACCTTTGCATCTATTGTCGCTCAGCACCCACTGACTGGGTAAAGCACCTTCCCATGGCAGAATTCATTCATAATCACCGAAAAAATGATGCACGCAATGCTTCCCCTTTCTTCCTCATGATGGGATATGAACCCTGAGGAATTCCTTATGCCTTCCCTCCAACCAACATCCCTGCATCAGAAGAACAAATCACTTATCTGCAAAAGATCCAAGAAGAAGCCCTCACATGCCATAACATCGTCAGACAGCGAATGGCAGAACACTCTCATGGAAAGAAGTATGAACCCTGGAAAATTGGGGATAAGGTTTGGCTCTCTGCCACACACCTCACGACTCACCTTCCATTAAAGAAGCTGGCTCCAAAGCAATATGGCCCCTTCCCGATCACTGCCATCCTTTCCCCTATCACTTTCAAACTCCGTCTTCTAGAACAATGGAAGGTTCACCCCACGTTCCATGCTTCTGAGTTATCATCCTATTGGGAAACCGAAATCCATGGTCCGAACTTCCCTGAACCACCACCTGACGTAATTAACGGCGAAGAAGAATACAAAGTGGACACTATCCTGGCTCGCAAAGGACAAAAAGGGAGATGCCACTACCTCGTGTCATGGAAAGGTTACTCATCCGCAGACAACATGTGGCTTCTGGAAGATGCCTTAGAAAATGCCCCTGAAATCCTGAAAACCTATAAGAAGTGACTCAAACTCTCTCAAATCCTCATCCCAGAAGACCACTAAAGCACCATGTCCACTTCATCCAGCTCCTCTTCCACCTCTTCCCGTCGCAATCTCAAAAACTATGAACTCTTTGAACAACAAGAACGTCAAGCCCTCTTTGATGCCACCCTCCTTAACTGCCAACATGCTCTTGAACTTGAGAAGATCTTCATCAACAGAAATGACCATATCTCTATGTACCTCCTTTCCATGTTCCATGATACCCATTCCATAGAAGAAGACATCATCCCCAATATTGCCAGTGTTGACACTGCTACTCACCTTCACTACCTCAATCGAAAGATTAGGAACACCATTCAGATTCTCTTCCCTAAGACTTTCAGAGACGATGTAGCAGTCGCAATCCACACTGTCGCCGAACACCTTGCCACCACTACAAACATGCCACCTTCCCCTCATATCCTCCCAGTCTTACCACCTACCACTCCATCCCCTATAGAGGAACCATCCCCTCATAAAGCCGCCAAAATGAGCACTGGACGAAAATGCCCTACCAAACAAACAACCATCATGACCATTGGGCTCCCCGATATTATAAAGATCGTTGCTCATGGCCAGAAATTTGTACCCCTCCTCCAACAAACCCTGCAGTTCTCCCACTGACCCCCAGCCCATAGTGTCATTTTGATGCATTAAGGGATTACAGCTGTAAGACACTTGTAATGCATCAACAGTTACTACTGCTCATCGAGAATCCTTGGTGAATCTTCGAGGATCCCAATGCATCAGTAATGCATTAGCACTCTAAGTGATGCATTAGCACTATTGCCCAGCGGGGGCGCTTCTGGTTGCCTAATTCAGCTTCCCCAGCCATTAAAAATCGGGTGGGTACCTTACAGGAGTGATGCATTAGCACTATTGCCCAGCGGGGGCGCTTCCGGTTGCCTAATCCAGCTTCCCCGGCCATTAAAAATCGGGTGGGTACCTTACAGGAGTGATGCATTAGCGCTATTGCCCAGCGGGGGCGCTTCCGGTTGCCTAATCCAGCTTCCCTGGTCATTAAAAATCAGGTTACCTACCTTGGCCATTAAAAGTGAGTGGGTACCTTACGAGCCCTTACCCTCGGACCCTTTAAATGTGGGTGGTAGGCTGGTAGTGGGCCTTCCTGTACCTGGCTACCTTTATAGAGAAGTTGGTTTGCCTTCGTGCTGCGTGGCTGTTGTTATGGGAAAGCCCGGCTTTCCAACAGTGCACTTGATAGGGTCAATCCCATGTCCGCTTCATGGAGCACCAGGACAATGGAAGACTGAATGGAGGCTGTCCATCCAGAATGACTGACTAAAGGTTCAAAGAAGAAGCTAGAGTCGTATATCACAAGTGAAGATCAAGTTAGAGAAATACATGGTCTAACTACAGTGGTATATATAGGTATCATCCTATGAGTTCAGGGTAGGCTTGGGTAGCCAGAAAGTGTCCCAACTAGGTAAGCGTCTATGTGAGTCATAAGGACTCAGAGATAAGAGCACCGGCTCAATGGTAAGGGTCCAGGGTATAGTACCGGCACAGTGGTAGGTGTCCAAGTCAGATAATGCTATCTGTCATGATAAGCGATAGGATAAACGATAGTCAGTACCGGTGTATCGGTAGGGGTGATAAGGGAGAAGCGTGCGGCTTCTATTGATCCCGGTCTAGGTCGGTTCCAGAGCTGTCTTGCTCCAACAGCTGTCATGCTGTGCTCTGCAGTTTAGTCACGTGCCGGTGATGTCATCTGTCACATGTTGTGACGCGGTTGTAACGGCGATGTTTGGTGGAGACGATAGGGGTCTGAGGGTCCCTGTAACAGCTGTGTTGGTTGGGGATAGCGCATACATACCCCACACTTCTGAACACTTCATTCAACCGTTGAGCGACAAAGTTCGACAATGGCATTTCCCGAGTGTCCCAAATTTTGTCAAACTTCGACAGCGGCATTTCCTGAGCGTCCAAAATTTCGTTGAAGTCCAAACTTGTAGCAACAAACTTCAAAGTATACATTGTCATAGCTTAACAAGGTCCGGCAATTCTTGTTCACATGTAGTTGAGCACAACCAATAGATTAGATTGAAACAGATTCGAGATTTTAAGCAATATGTACGGCTAACAGTAAGACAGATGGCACAGTGCGGTACTGCTAATTGAAGTATGCATGCCACGAAGAATCAAGATGTTAGGCAATATGTACAACCAACAGTAAGATGGACGGCACTCACAATCATGCAACCTTAGATTTTCTGAATGAGAACTCAATGATGGAAAATGACAAAAATTCAACAACACTCACTTTTTATTAGATGTGTTACCAGTGTTCTCAGCATTGCGTTTGCTGCCGCGTTTTGAGCCCTGTGTTATTGATGTAGCATTTGCGCCTCCGCCTACTTGACCAGACCGCCGAGGAGTATCACCAATGACATTGTCCAATTCACGGCGATTGAAAGGGACTGATCGGCGTGCCCTACCAGTACGCCGAGCACCAGGCTGTTCTTCTTCAATATGGCAAGTATTGGGCTGAGACACTAAGACCAGAAGAGGCTCAGGTGCCAATACAGAAAGTGCTGGTGTTGGCTCAGATGCAGAGGGAGCAGACACAGAGGGAGCAGACACAGAGGGAGCACGAGACTCAGATGCAGGTGCTGACTGAGATGCCTGAGGTGCGGGGATCAATGACTCTGGCTCAAAAGTAGAGGGAGCAGGAGGCCTGGGCGTCGCAGGTGCTGGCTGCAATGTAGGGGGAGCAGGCATTGCAGAGAGAGTATGAGCAGGCGCTGCAGAGAGAGTATGAGCAGGTGCTGCAGAGAGAGTATGAGCAGGAGCTTCGATGGACACAGGAGGCTGAGGCCCATGGAGCGCTGGGTCTAACTGAAAAGCAAGGGGAGTAGGAGGCGTAGGCCAGACAAATGGAGGGATTGGAACTTCACGCCCCACAGGAGGCAGAAAAGGCAGATGTAAGTCAGTGCCGCCCTCTGAATCCATGCTGGCCCCAACAGATGTCTCCAGAAAAGAGGATATTGCAGCCTCATAGTCGAACGGCTCAGTAGAAGCGAGAAAGTCCAAGTCATGCGTATGTGAGCTTAAGTCCTGTAGTGTAGTTCCATTAAACTCGTGAATGTAATGCATTAACCTTGAGCCCACCTGAGCGAGTAAGTTGAACTGTGTTTGTGATGGTGATGCATTACACTCATTCGCAGTCAACTGATAAAGCGTGCCCCACTCCCTTGAGCTTCCAAGACCAATATTTCCCCCTGGTACTTTTGCCGCAGCGGTACTTTCACCACTGCGAACCTCATCCGCCTCACTATCTGAACCCTCATCATCTGAGTTGTTATCATCACATTCGATCTCTCTCTCTCTGTCGTGGTAGTGGTTGGTAGCTGGGAGAGAGTCCTCGTGCTCTAAACATCAAGTTTAACATCAGTAAGCACACAATTCCCCATGCCAATCACTTACTGATAGTACTGTCCACAAAATTCGCAAATGCCTTAAGAACCTCACTGTACATGACATACGAGTCTGCAAACTGGCCACCAGCAGCGCATTCACCAAGGTGATAACTGTTGGATGATTTAATTACTGATTGATTATAGATAGATAACTTGGCACATACTTGAAGAATCATATATTACCCCCAACTTCTGGATCGCGGCCACCCATGAGGACGGAGAACTTCCATCCGCCAGTCATGTGGCTCAGGTGTCAGAAGATACGATCTAACACCACTGGAAGGTCATGGATTGCCCTGCATAACAGTGAATCTTGCTGAAGAAATGCTCAAAGTAAAAGTACGTACTTAATCTTGGTATCGTCGTCTACCTCTTCCCTCACCTTAGCTTGGGCGACCTTGCGGGCTTTCTTGAACTTCTTTTTCAACTTTCGGTGCTCCTTCTTAACCTTCTCTTTCACAGCAATTGACTCCGCCTCGTATTTCTCTGCCGTGATCTCATGACGCATGCGGAGCTTAGAGCCACACAAGGTAATTCCCCCCTCTGCAATTGCGTTGTCAGGCTGACTGCTTGATGTGGTCAGCATAGTACATCTGTGAGTAAACCTCGACTTCCTTTGGTGCATGCATGGATGTGCCTCCTGCGAGTGTTTTTTCCATGGCAAGCACTCCTTTCGAACCACCTGAACATGCAAGATGTGCAGGGTTTGTCTTCCACTGATACCAGCGCATGATTTGCTGTGATTGACAGTAAGCAAATGTTTCAATAATGTAAGTGAACATGTACTTCTTTTCGTTTTTTTAATGGTGTCTTATACACCTCCTTTTGCTCCTCGGTCAGCTCGTCCTCGTCATCAACATCAGGATAGTATATTTTATGGACTGGCCATTGGGCAAAAAAATTCTTGTTGATTTTGGGCCAGAACTCCGTGTAATTTTTTGTCAGCATGTAAGTGCAATATTCAGCTAACATTGACATCAGGATGACATCTTGCTCATCTGTAGCCCATGTCGGTGGAGCCATTGTGTTGAGTACTGCGCGAACACGTAGGCAAGGGGGGTTTGAGTACGAGTATAGCACACCAAGACGCAGAACATATAATGCATTACTTGATATGCAACTTTGCTGTCAAACGGAGACACGGAACATACCATGTATTACTTAGTCACTGTCAAATGGAGGATCTCGATGTCATGAGTATATACCAGATGCTAATGCATTACTTGGTATCCAACTTCGCTGCAAACGGAGAATCTCGATGTGAACATGAACATCTATCTATGCTACAAAGAACCTCAATATATCTATCTTAGAGTTCTCTGTACAACATACAACCCGCGGGTGTATTCAGCTGTCTGCGGGTTCTTTAAGTCCAGTCTTCTGGTATGTGCTGAACATTTAACACTTACTGGATGGTATGCATGGCATGCATATCCAAGTAAACTCTAATACATCTGGCGGTGTCAAAGTCATTGCACAAGCGAGCTGCCTTTCTCCTGAAAAAATAGTTCTTAATCAACTGCAAACCAAGGGTGATCAAAGGTTGAAGTAGAATAGAAGCAAATAGAACTTTACCTCTCGGCGTTTTGGAATCCATGCCTGGATGATAGCTTCCCCCAAGCTGCTAATTGTTGTGGTATCCCCACCTGGGTAGACGCCGCAGTAGGAAAGGTAGACATCGCACTCAGGCCATCGAGCGAACCATACCTCATAAACAGACTCCAAGAACTTGTCATAGTCGCTAATGGGAATCTTGTTGAATCCGTCATATAGTTCAGCAAAAAATGCGCATTGAGCTGGAGACAGGTACTGTGCTTCGAGTTTTTGAGACATTGAGTGGGAAGGGTGGAAGAGTGTAAGAATGCAACTTATTCTCTATAATAACTACGATAAAGTTAATGCATTACAATTTACAAGGACCTGGCAGATATGTGTGCTTACAATCTCTCAAAGTCCATAAGTCCTCGGTCAACATTTATCGATGATTATAGTAGCACATCACAGAGTCTCATACAGTAAGTCCCCCTGCCTGCGCCTGTCAGCAAGGTCGGACATCCCTGATGTTCCGTAGCACCACAGTTCCTCAACTGCAGCTATAATCTTTTTGCACTGCTTAGAAATTGCACAGACCTCCTTGAAAAATCTTGTCATGCCCATCTCTTCGAGCACACTTGCTTCCAGTGCCTGCAGACCAACCTGAACCTCTTCAAGATGTGTGAGGACCTCGAGAAGCTTGCAGATGGCAGTTTCCCATGTCTTGACACTGCATAAGAGCTGGTCGCAAAGTTCTTTGCAGAATTGTTGCGCTGGTACATCAGTACAGTCCAGTAGTGCAGCCTGGGCACAATTGAACTGCTGGCTTTGCAGTGTTGAACGACAACGGCCATAAATTAGTAAAACTTAGTTCATAATTGTAAGAACATCTTACACATGTGACGGTTGAGTTTTTGAGTGACCTGGCCTGCGTATTCCGGTGGTTTGCTTTGATTCCGGTGCAATAATGATCTGAAAGGGGCTTGTCTTAGAGGTAGGGCAAGAGGTAGGGCAGAGCTTCGTTGTCGCAGTTTCTAGAGAGGTGGTAGTGCACTGGGCATTGCCTGTCGTCCGATTTGCACGATATCTGCTATTCTTTTCGCAGATAGCCTTCTTGTTCCTAGAGACCAGTGTCTCACTATGAGCATACATTGAATTGACGAGTCACCTACATTTGATAGTATTTTCTGTGGGATTCACGTGCTGCTTGGGCCCTCTCAGTGTCATCCTTGTATTTGAATGGACGACCCCCCATTGGTGTCGAGTGGAGCAGTAGGAGTTAACTGGTATTATAAGTGTTGTTTCGAGAGTGTTAAGTGGTAGTGTTGAATGTGTTTGGGAGAATAATGCCATTGGGAGATTAATGGTTTGGGAAATTAACCGTTGGTACACTTCAAAACTGAATTCACCATAAGCTTGCTAGCTATTAAGGTCATATAGCTACGTCGACCTTCCACAGTTACTGTCAGTGTTGACATTGTGACTGGTGCAACAAGACTGTCTGCCCTCATACTCATAATATTCCTGACCTTGAACCGTCCGAAGCGCAACTTGACATTGAATCTTTGTCTGATGCCAATAATAACTGCCCGCCGTGACACTCATAGTAAATATTCCTGAATCCTGACTGTTCCGACACGGTACACAACCAATATTCCTGACTGTGAGCTGTCGTCCGACGCAGTAGCAAGCTACTTCAACCTCCCAGGAAACAAAATGTGTTCAAGAAATGATATCATGATTGCAAGCAAGAAACACACGGGCAGCAAGTACAGATAAGAAACACGCGGGCGACAAGTACATATTTCGTATATACACTAGGTATCACATTCATTTGCTAGCAGCAGCAACCATCAGAGTGGCAACTCCTGCACAGTGCCATCTTGCAGCGCCTGGGCATATGCCTCATCTGCACTAGCACGAGAGGTGTACCGTCCAAAACAAGCTCCAGGAACGCCTACTACATGTGAATGGACATTATGCCTGGAAGAACATTGAATTGAGATGTCTAGGTCTAGATGAGAAGGAGGATATGTACCAGCCTTGAAATACACCGGTCTCACGTCCAACAGTAATGATGTACCAGCGGGCCGAAGCAGAAGTACTCCCGTGATGTGGAGCAGTGGTGGTGAGAGATGTAGCAGCAGCAATGGTGACTGGGGGTGGCGCAGCATTGGTAGCTGCAACACCAGCTGCTGCAGGAGGTGCAACATTGCCTATAGTAGCCACGCTGGTCAAGGAACTTGTGTCTGTGACACTCTGAGCCTCATCTGGTGTGTTCGATCAGGATCTGGTATAGCTTTGTACATGAAGCGAAAACTTACCTCCTCCTTCAGGTAGGTCTGGACTGTTGCTAAGGGAAACTGCCGGGGGAATTTGAGTGCGACAGACGTAACAAATTTGCCTATGAGAACGAAGAACGCAACCTGGGCAGTAGCCTACTGCTAGCGCTTCCTCCACATAGTCAGGGAGGTTAACACCAGCCTCAGCATGGGCATGTGTGAGAACTGAAAATGATGATTTGAGTGCAACGACAAACCAGTGTTATTACACTGACTTACATAGTTGATCGCGCAAAAGCTCCACCACTGTGACCAGTTCGGACAAACTGAAGGTTTGTTCCTTAACCATCGTGGGAAAGACCTTCATTTTGGACAAACAGATGGAGCTCGATGTAATAACAACGCTCAGTGACTGAAGATAGCTAAAGATGTGGTTGCTCGATGATGGGAAAAGGTTTCAATCAACATATCTTATATCACTCACGTCGGCGAACATTGGCAAACTCCGCCGTGGGCTTCACAGAAGGGTTCTCACACAACAAGAAGCCGATACATAAGGATTGGGAGGATCCCGAAGCACATCCTCACTCACTCCCATAAGTCTGGACTCATCAGGCGATTCAGACCATGCAATGTCGAGCTCTAGTGGAGGCATCACCAGCAGTGACCCACCAGGTATTGTATATCTGCTCAATGCATGATGCGGGATTGATCATGAATTTCATAGCTTATGAAACAACTGTGATCCAGGCCATGATGTTGCCTTGGTCTTGGCGTGAACTCAACAATCGTGGTCATAGCAGCTGGGGTCATGGTTGGGGTTGGGGTCGTGTGCGCGGACAACATGACACTGGACTTGGCCGCGGCAGTGGTTGTGGACGCAATAGGTTGTGTTTCAACGAATACATTATTGCTCCTTCATCAAGTCTGCCGATTACTCACGAGTAGGTCAAATTTACCTCACAACCGCACGGTGGTCTAGCTGCATCTCGTCAAGATGTCATCAGGTCCTCGGAGGCATTTTCTTTCACCAATGCACATTCTGCAGACATTATTCTTAGTGATGACATCAGTGACGACGGGAATGGTGATTACTATGCGGCAATGGATGAGGATTCTTCACCTGAAGTGGAAGTAGGATCTCCAAATAAGTGCAAGTGCACAGCTGGTGTATGTGGATGGTTTGGTTTCCACTCGCTTACCATTTGCTGACCTTCTCCAGGACCATCCTCTCCTTAATTGGATTGATCATCGGGAATTATTCCTTCTTGAGATGCTTCGCCACGACAGAAGAGGTGATGGTGTCTCGTCGACCTTCTGTGACACCTGCGGGATCACTGTTGGTGTATACCACTGTAAGGATTGTTTTGTGCCCGGATTATCATGTCAGATGTGTGTTGTTCGTACTCACGCACATTCACCGATGCATCGTGTAGAGGTAAGTGGCATGTCTGATTGGGATGCTGTACATGCCTCATTGGAATCCTACAGAAGTGGAACGACGAGTGCTTCCAAAATGTGACTCTTAAAGATCTGGGGCTTCGCATGCAACTTGGTCATAAGATTGGTGAATCATGCCTGCTTCCCAACTGAGCGTTCAACAACGATTTTGTCCTCATCGACACCCTTGGCATCCACCCTATGGCTGTGGATTTTTGTGGGTGCGACAGAGCACAAACTCACACCCAACAACTGTTACGTGTTGGTTGGTTCCCTGTGACAACCAGTGACCCAAGAACTGCAGTGACATTTGGCATGCTCCGGCAGTTCCACATCTTGTCATTTGAGTTGAAAGTTTCCTCATACGAATTTTACCATTCTTTAGTTCGTCTCATGGACAATACAGGCCTTCTGAAGCGCAAGGATCGGTATGAGGCGTTCATGCGCATGGCGCGTGAATTTTGGCATGTGAAGATGCTGAAGTGAGCTGGCCACGGACACAATCCTTCAGGCATCATTGCCACATAGCAGGGTGAATGTGCGGTTTTATGCCCGGCGTGCCCTCAGCCCGGGAGGAATCTTCCTCATGCTTGGCAACTTGCTCCAAAAGGAAAAAGGTACACACTTCATTGATTGATAATAACGGCTTCTCATGCATCTCCAGATGGTTATATGGCCTCTTTCTTGCAATCGACGCAAACTTTCGCCTGAAGAGGCAGATAGTCTCAAAGGATACTGTGGATCCAAGTTTGTCCTGTGGGTGGGGATACTTTGTCGACGAGACCACATACAAGACACATCTTACCAATCACGGCATGGAAGCCCAAGAGGTATGTATCGTGTTTTGTTTTATCTTAAGCTTGTATTGATAGATGTAACACAGAAAAGCACGTGCGCTAGTCATAATGCAGTGAACATGGCAGAATCGAAGTCATCAAAGGGACTAGCAGCCACGGGACTTGGAACCATCAACTGTGCCTGACATAATATGAAGCTTCCGAACGGCGTTGGGGACTTGCAGGAAGGCGAGAGGTACATACCGCTTGGATGTGCGTGGACCTACTTCATTGATTTGCCAATTCCAGATATATTAATATGGATTTTCTGTTCTTTTCAACCTTACGTCACCACTCTCTCGAAGTTCTTAATGTGTCATATGATATCGCGTGCCAGTGGCACAAAAATCTGTGGGCCAGGATGGTAACACTTCCAGAGGATTATCAGCTTGATCACCCAATCAAAACTGTTCGCTTTTTCGTACCCAAATTCCATCTTCCTGCGCACATCGCAAAATGCCAGACAATGTTCTCTTTCAACTGGTCTCATTGGGTTGGGCTCACTGATGGCGAGGCTCCAGAGCGAAGATGGTCGAACATCAACCCAGTGGCTTCTAGTATGAAAGAGATGGGTCCAGGCTGTCGATGGGACACGTTGGACGATCATTTCGGAGACTGGAATTGGAAGAAGGTCGTCAACTTAGGTAATTAATAATCATCCCCCAAAGCAGCAGCTCTAAGTGTGCATTTCAGGGGCGAGCTTGCTATGGAAGATGAAAGAAGCAATGCAGGAGAAGGTGGCCTTCCATGTGGCCTTCGAAGAACTCGATGCTGCCATTACCAAAGAACATCGCGTAGCCTGGACGGCAGAGGTAGAAAGGTGGGAGGATAATCCCAATGACATGTGTGTGCCAAATCCATTTGAGGCTAAATCAATAGGTCCGTCTGAAAAGTTGACTGAGGGAAAAGGAGCTGATTTGTCATAGCGATCACGCAGGCTGGTGCATGCCTGAAACTAGTGCAACTGGAGGCAAAGGAGCTGGAAAGGGGGGCAGATGTATCACTGCACCCAGAGGTCTCACCGAGTGTCTTCATAGGATTGGGTCTGGATTTAGAAGAAGAGCAGTAAGTTCGGTTGTTTTCTTCTCTGTATTATGATGCTGATCATGACACAGACGGCATGTCGCTAGGTTCATGAAGGGTCTGGGTAACCACATCACAGATACCCAGAAAGGAACCCTGCAATGTCAGAGGAACACTTTACATCGCAAAATCGAGTCATGGCGGATCACGCAAGTGCTATACATGCCTATCATGCATGGCACACTCTCTACTTCAATATCACCATCCTCTGATTTAGGGATCGATAATGCGGAGGACTTGAGGCTTTTTCTCCCTTCTGCTATCGGCAATCGTCCATGCCACGACCGCCTGCGACTCTACGAATGGGAACTACGCCTGGCTCAGGCACATGACGTGCTGGAAGAACTCAGGCAATGTCTGCGGATACGCTCATCACTCTTGACGTACAAGAAGGACTGGGTCCATGGGCAGGGTGCGAACACAAGGGCTCAAAATGCCTTGGAACATGTTACTGGAAGACAAGCAGCCTGTACGGCAAGGTACCATGCTTCATGGGACGCGCTGAATGTCCTGGCAGGAGAGCTTGGAAAAGTGGGGTGGCAAGGAGGACTTCAGCCACTGGAGCCCGACGATATACGACCGCTTATTGATCCAGCTATCATTCCTGGGCAGGGGAGACGAAAACTGACCTGGATTTGGAGGATGAGTGGCATAGATAGTGGTGGAGATGGTACAGATGAAGACGGTGAGTGGCAATGTTGGTGGTCACAGCCTAAACTAACACTAGATCAGGCATGAGGGTAGAATGGTGCAAAGTGCGAGCTTGTGTGATGTGCTGGGCTGAGGAGGTCGAATTGCTCCATGAAGAAATGTGTCGTGTCCTTCAATTTTTTTGGTGGCAGGCCAGCTGGTGGGATAAGCAGGGGCATCGGTGCGTGGAGGAGGATACAGGGTGTCTCGAGGGTATACGAGCTTATGCTGCCAAGCAGGCAAACATTTGCTGAGTGTTCACCAATCATTTCCAGACTTTATGGTCTCCCTTTCTCTCTCCCAACACCATAGCCTTGTCGAACGTGGTTCATTCTAGCGCAGACCATGCTGCTGACCTCCCTAGTCTCTCGGCGCCACCTCCACCCGAGGTGTAGTTGCTTATGTGCCTGTGTACATTATTGCCAATATATGTCTATTTTGCATCCCCGAAGTATGTGTGTGGTGTGTATGTAATGCTTCGTGGTACCTTAGATTGGATCTGGACACCCTTCTGGTCAGCGTGCTTCACAGCGAAGGTACCATGTGAACCAATCTGATTCCTGGGGGGAACATGCTTCTGGTCAGGAACACACTTCTGGTCACTGTGCTTGACAGCAAAGGTACCATGTGAACTGGAATTTGGATGCCGGAGACAGGGCAGGCAGAGACAGGGTAGGTGTGTCTTAGGGGCAACTATCTTACAACTGTAATGAATTAATGCATGATTCAGGCTTACAATTGTAGTCGCTCATGCATTACAAGTATCTTACAATTATAAGACTTAATGCATCATCACCCCAGGGTGTTGTGTGACCCCACCATCACCGACTCCCATTCCTAAGGAAGAGACCCCTAGTCCTCCCTTTTACAACATCATTTGCCGCATATGCAAGGAACTTTGGCACTGTCACAAAAACTGCCCATCTTACAGGTGTAGGGTCTGCAGGACACTCTCTGCAGGACACCTTTCTCCATATTATCCTTCTCTACGAGGAGAAACCATCAGCGCATCCAGGGGGATGACTAGCAACACTGAAGGGTTCTACACCCATCTAGCTGAGTGGGAAGCACAAGAGGACGTGGTGCAAGAGGAGGACTTACTCTCCTACAATGACATCGATGTAGACCCCATCTACCTCAATGATGCAAGGCTTGACTAGGTTGCAGTCAGTGACTTCAACGATACGAAGGGGGTAATGTTACAATGGCACTATATTTTCTTTTCTCTTTCTTTCTTTACTTACTCATTGAGTCCCATAACTGCTTATCAACACGTCCAACACGTGAACACTTACCTATATGCTTACTCATACTGTTCCCTGATTGGCCGATTCAACATTGCACCATTTCTCATCTCCTTTTCTGATTGGCCGATACTGTCTTCCTATTCTCGCTTACCTTTCTTGATAGGGTCATCCACCTACAGACCAGCCCTAAACTACCTTCTTGTTACATATATATATCATGTTTCCTATACTTGTATTTCTTAACTTGAATCTACTAGGTTCTCTCCTGATACTTCAAGTTCACTGATCTAGCTGCCTTCCAGCAGACTAGCCTGGATACTTGATCTAGTGAGCCCTTGACACTTGACTAGCCAGAACCATTGATCTTAGAACTCACGATACACTTCAGCCTTGATCATCCTTTATTGGAATGCTGAAGAAGAACTATCCTAGTCGTAACAGTTGTTAAGTTCTAGGATAGACTTCTGTATGTCAAAAAAGATGTGGCATTGGCTATTTAGCGTGCAAAGCTCAAAGGCAACGACACAGAGAGAAGAATGCTTTTGGTTGAATGACAGGATAAAAGTCTGGGATTTGGGGGTCCAGAAAACACTAAGGTAACTCTAGTACTCCAACTTGTATATAAGTAAGTGCAGCTAGGGCTATATGAGACTCAGGATAAACAGGGAGTAATATAATGAGATAAGGAGTAGCTAAGTTACTCAGATTGAATAAATAAGAGATATATATCAGTATCACAATGACAGACAGATATTGAATATAAGCACATATTTGAGGGGTAAAGTCAAAGGTCAAAAGAAAGACAAACAAATCAAAGGGACGTGGTACGTGCGGTTAAGCGCAGTCATTACACAAGCACTATATAGAATAAATCCAGTCTGCCATTGCACTTTGCTTTTCCAGGACTGTCCAAAATATGTTCAAGCAATACACAGGGTATAGTTGCATATGGCCGAAAGTATAAATAAGTACATAGGTTAAGTGCATATGCTGAGTCACTGTGAAAGAAATGGGAAGCTACATTCAAATGACAGAGTCTATGTCCCATTCGTGCAGTAAGTACTAAGTATGTACTTGGTGAAAACTTTCAATGTCTCACATGACACCCAAACTCACGTGCCTTTGCAAACGGTCCAAACGGCTGTATCTACTCCTCCGAGTCATGTGACTATTAGTAAGCTGTACTTGATGTACCAATACTAACAACAATCTCCTAGGCAGCAAGCATTTAACACATCACAAACCAGACCCAGAACTTGTTTTGCAGTGTGGGGAACATCCCCACTGTAGGCCCATATCCCATATAATTCCCAAGCCTTACCAGCATCTTCCCATGAGTTCCACTACTGTTCCGCTACCCATCCGCGTCTTATCCGACCCGTCCGCTACACGGAACCAAGCGGAACCCAGCGGAACAATTGTGCACCACGCACATCATATCCCTTTAGTCTTCGGAACGTCCTCCTCTGTCCTGTCCCCGTCCTTCCATCCTCACTGGTGAGTACTAGCTACGTTCCCCGTGTTACTGACATGTTCCTATCTCATTTCACATGTGTTACGATACTTATACGGATCCTTCCGCTACTCGGAACCGGTTTCTTATCTCACAGCCTCGCCTGGTTGTAGCATAGCACTTTCCAGAACCCCTTCCTATATAGATAGCAATAGATGGGATCTTAGTTTTTTACCTTTTGATAGACTCGACTCCACTTCCACTTACAGAGTACTTCCCAGTACTCCACTCACTGTCTAAAATATCTTCCCAAATCTATTCTTGATCTCATTGCAACGTTCCTGCCTCCGTGAGTTCCGCTTGAAACGCCTGACATCAGATCTGACGACTTGGAGCAAGTACCAGACACAAGCCTGGTCCAACTTTGCCCAATCATCCTCCTACAGGCTCGTAGTTTCCTTTTCCCTCTGTTAGTTCCGTTTGTTCAGCATTAGTTCTGCTTGTTGCACATTAGTTCCACTCGTCGTGTGTTTGTTCCGTTCGTCACGCACTTTGTTCCGCTCATCGCGCACTTTGTTCCGCTCGTCATGTACCTTCCATATCAGTGCGTTCCCAGTCCTAGTAAGGCCCAGAACCCTTCAGGTCGCTAGACAGAGTCTAGTCTTTGCTTTCCTCGCACTTACTTGAGGACCCGCTACCCAGTAGCAATCCCCTCAGGACAAGTATTAGTCTTGCACCCTTGTTAGACATCTGAATCACCCCAGAGTCTATTTTCCTCACCCACAGCAGACACCGTGTCATTCCAGCTATGTACCTGACATTATCCCTTGGTTTAGAGTCCCCGCCTTTCCATTTCATTCAACAGAATGTTTTTTTCTTGCTCCATCGTTACTCAAGCTGACCACAAGATCTCATGTAATCACCGTCAGTTCACACACATTAACTTGATTAGGCGCAGGCCCGTCTTTGAGCTAATTGCATCAATCCACGGAATCATTCAGGTAATTATCCCTTAGTTTAGTGTCTCCACTTCTGATTTGGTTTAGAGTACTTGCCTTTCCATTCCACTCAAGAAATCATTTTTCTTGCTTCGCCTTTACTCAGGTTGACTGCAAGGTTTTATGTAATTGCTGACAGTTCATGCACCACCTCTGATCTAATTACATTGATTGACAGAATCACCCCAGAGCAAATGCTGCTGATAGTAGTTAATTGACCCTGTCACCTGTTCAATCGATATGTATGTGGTGTAGGCGCCGATCAGAGTTTGGGCCCATCGAAAAACGATCGTTGAATGATCCCTGTTTGGTATGGTCTTGGTCGAACCGGGATTTCTTGTCCTCTCCACCAATGAGAGCGCTCGCTTAAGGTTGGTGAAAGCTAGGGAAAGCTTCAAATTGTCAACGTAAAGAGAGGCTCTCTCAGATGTATGAACCGTCCATGCAGAACCGTTTGAAGAATGTATGGAACTGATATTCCTACATGATGGTTGTGTGGGGACTATTGGTACCATGCCAGGGATCCCCAAGAAGTTAGCTGTTTCAAAGTGCGTACTTCATTTCCGCTATGTTTCCTTCCCTAAATTGACCATCATTCCTACTTCCAAGTCCCCACTTTACATTCTCATCCACGAGCGATGGCGACCTCATCCCCATCTCCATCTGAACCAGACAACAATGAAATTCACCCACTAGTCTCTCTTAAAAGACGAATTGCCGCACTCAAGGATGTGCCTGACCGAGCGCGTTGAAGATCTGGTAGCAGAATTCAATAGGCACATTGGACTGGGTGCTTCCAATGAATCCAACGCATCAGGAAAAACTATATCTCTATATAGAGGACCATCCTCTATATAGCCCCGATAGCACACCACAGCTCTATAGACCAGTATAGACATCATGAAAGTCTATATATTACCATAAAGTTTGGTAAGTGTATTTAGAAGTAAAACATTTCAACAACTATAGACCCCAGTAGACCGTGGGAACTTTTTTCGATGAAAACCAAAGTTGTAGTCCTTGTCTAGGGAAGTCTATCCATAGTCTTATGACTTCAATAGGTTAAGATCCTAGTGAGTTATAAGGAAAATACTCGAAATTGAAGGGTTCAAGAAAGCAACTTGACCATGGGAACTTTTTTCGATTAAATCAAAGTTGTAGTCCTTGTCAAGGGAAGTCTATCCATAGTCTAATGACTTCAATAGGTCAAGATCTTAGTGAGTTATAAGGAAAATACTTGGAATTGAAGGGTTCAAAAGTGTTAAGGTACACCTTATTTATGTAAGCAAAAATGCGAAAATTCACCTTATGTGTATTCAAAATCCTAATGCTAACAGTCAATTTCATTGTCTTTTTCTTACTGTCATAATCCTAGTCCTATTAACCAAAAACTCGAAAATTCACCAAGTCTTGTGTTGTGGCTTTGTTTGGCACTGCTTATGTAAGCAGAAATGCGGTCAACCAACGAGTCTTTTCCCATTCTTTCCTTCCCCCCCCACTGCCCCCTCATTAGATTATCTTCCATATTTTTCTTACAATTTTCGAGTTTTTGCCTCTCTTCTCTTCTTCTTGCTTCTCTATCCTTCTCTTGGTGTTGATGTTGTTGGTGCTGGTACTGGTGCTGGTGCTTTGAACTCTGGTAAGTCTCCCTCCATAATTTTCGCATTTTTGACTATTTGACTAATCTTTTTTCTAACCCTCTCCTTCTAGCTCTCTTCCCTCCTGCTCCTCCTCCCCCCAACTATTTTCGCATTTTTGACCATTTGGCAAGTCTTTTCTCTGACTCTCACTTCCTCCTGTCTGATCCTCTCCTTCTAGCTCCCTTCCCTCCTCTTCCCTCAAGAATTTTCGCAATTTTCACTATTTGGTAAGTCTTTCTTTTTTTTGTATTCATCTTTCCTCTCTGATTCTTCCTTCTAGTTCTCTTGCCTCTTCCTCCTGTAATTTTCGCATTTTTGCCTGTTTTGTAGTTATTAGTTTACATGTATTGTAGTAGTTGAAATATAATTTGGAATTTTCGCTTTTTTTAATTTTGAGAACACTATCATGGCAACAAACAGCTATTAAGAGAAATTTTTGCTTTGTGTTTTGAGCTATAATAGCTACAATAGTTGTGGTATGTTCCACCCAGCTATAGCAACTTTAATAGAGCTATATAGCACTATACACTGGTGTAGTAAGCCTGCACAATTGGGCACTTGGCTATACGAGCTATAGGGCTATGGAGTCTGTATAGCAGTCTATAGCGCTATGGGTGGCTATATAGCCTTACCACATTTTCCTGATGCGCGGACATGATCAATTCAGATGACCCAGAGTAAGTACATCTTCACAAAATTGTCCTGGTTAACCCTCTGGTCATGTTCCAGTGAAAATAGGTGGTATCGCTCCTTCAAGAAACTTATGGTATGGTGTCCCTCGGCTTGTAAATTGCTACAGTCATCAGCTGAGCATGAAGTTCTCACTTTTGCATATAACAAGGTGATACTCCCAAAACAGTTCACTGACAAAACATCACTGTATCTTGCATCCAGTTAAATGAAAGCTCTGATGGCGCCAGAGGAGACGACTCTGCTGGTCTCAAGCACACTGTTGCCAATTGGCTAATGGAACGTACTCCCACACCAAATCCTGCTATTCACAGGCAAGACAAATCTGGTTGGGGTTTTTACCACGACATGACAGGCAAACTCCTGTGCCCAGTTGATTACGACTGGAGCAATCCCATGTAAGGGCTCTTTTATGAGCTGTGCCATAACTAACTTGTTTCTTCAAAGTGTTTGAGCCTCCATTCGAGACTACCATCCTGATTTTCGTATTACCACTTGTTCCTGGCCTTCATTCCTGTACAAGAATGGACACTATGACCTCCAAAATTCTACCAATGGTTTGTTTAAAGGTGAGCTACTTATAAAGGTAAAATTAATATGTGTGGTAGAAGCATACTGAATACAGTCTCCAGGCATTTAAACGCATGTTTACCTCTCCAACTTCCACAGACGAGGAACAACCTGTTGACTCGATGGCTCGTTCTGCACAGAGCAAGAACAGTGGTGAGCGTCGCACTTGGCGCGACATTTCAACACTACTCAATATGCGATCTATCCAACCTTGAGCCATAGCCTATGTATCTGTTCAGGTACAAACCATTTAACTCAAAATGTCTGCGCGCTTTGGTGATTAGAGGGTTTAGCTTAGATTTGCGTTGTCAAGCGCTGGATCTTGGCACATTGTTGATGACAAATTCAACAACCAAGAATTCTATGACAACATCATTGACTATCTTGAGCTTCCTACAATGCCTGAAGCAGCGAAAGAAGTCGACGACCTCTTACTTTGGTGGAACCAGTGAGTAGCTTTGGCAGTATTACACTGTCTCCCATTGATCCATCAGGGTTTCATTTTTAGAAAAGTTTTTGGTTGAAAATATGTTTCTGACTATTGCCTGCAGCATGCTGTTAGGTACCGTGCCGGCTCAGGAGGCAGAGGTGTCTGGGCTTGGCTTCAGCTCTTGCACTGCGCCCTTAGCCGAGTACGTGCCCCAAATTTGGAGCGGGTCCAACATTGTCCGATGATAGGACGAGTGGACCACTTAGGTCCACTTTGAGGGTCGGGAAGTAAGAACTACCAGTGGCGGGGCCGACTAGAAGCGGAGCGGAGAAGGCGAGGAGTGATGTGGAGGGTGGATAGGAGCAGGGGGAATATTTGGTAGGAGTGGGGAAGGCCGAGGATAATGCGGAGGATGGGAAAAGGGGCAAGGGGAATATTGATAGGGGTGGAGAAATAAGGGGGACACTTAGAGCATGGCTCTAAGTCAGAGCGGAGGGTCGGAGGGTCGGAGGTGACAACAAGTTGAGACTTGTGTCCAGAGGAGGCAAGGTCCTACTGAGAATTCTCACAAAAGGTAACTGCGAGAAGACTAGTAATATTAAGACTAAGGAAAATATCTAAGTACAGGATATGTTATATACTTCTATGTATGAGGCAGTGATCAGGATAACTATGTAGTAAAGCTATGTACCAAGGATATAGTTTGTAAGTACTTTACACAGGCGAAGACATAAGTTGGAGCAGATATCAATATGTACGCGTTGGATCAGTGATCGAGTGGTAATAGGAATTACCAGTGATCCGGAAGTAAGGGTCTATGTACCGAAGGGGGAAGTATATATCTAAAAGGGGAAAGCGGATCCAGTTGAATGGAGGCATTATGGAAGGGGACCGGTTGGGCGGTTGAGCGGAAACGTAGGGGCGGATGCGGTCAATGATTGAACAGAGCGGAGGAATAGATGGAGCAGAGGTTGTCGGAAAGCGAGGCGGATATTGATATCAGAGCAGTCGGATCAGGTATATGACACATGCAAACAAAATGTCAGTCACCATGACTTTGGCCAGACACTGGATCTAGCTTAGTTGGGTTAGAATAAGGGAACCTACTTAGGCTAGTACTTAACTGCGAGCTGCATGTAACTTTCTTGTACAATTTTCAGTTAATATGTACAATGAAAGATTGAATTTTCTCATAATGTTGCTCATTGCCGAGTGAGATCTGAGCAGTACAATAAGCAATAACATTAAGACCCTCTCCGAACAATAGATAATGTGTCCAAACATTCTGCGCCACCAAATGGTCGAGACGAGTGGTCCACCTTCATCACCCATCTAGTATCTAGTAACCAACACATATGTGATACATATGTGACTTCAGGTAGTGAGTTGTGTGTGATGTTGTGGTATTGAAAGTCAGGTGTGCTTGCGTCAAGGACAGCATTACGAGTGATTGGGGACATGTCTACCTGACTTGCAAGCTCTGGTAGCGCACACTGCACTGATAGATGTGGGCTACCAGCTCCATACCAACAATTCTGTCTCGAAGCACCTAATTCTGCAATGCAAGTCGCATCAATATATTAGAGCTTTGGAATGATATACTGTGTCTGCTCCTGCCAATCCTGCAAGTGTCTGCCTACAATGTAGGTCAGCGAAAATAATATACAGCTTATGTCCTCCTTGTTGCAAATCTAATTGCTAGTCAAATGAGCCTCTTCAGCATGGTAATTGCTATTTCTCAATGTTTGATTTCTGGTCACTCACTATGCAGGTATTATACTGTGATGCATTCATTATGATTCATTTGCTTACACACCATACTTAAGAGTCCCGGCACACACATATAATCATTATGTAGATTTGCCACAAGGGCTACGTGTTTAAAGCCATATATGATGTCCAATACTAGCTAGCTAATTGTCTTCTGTATATTTCAGTTGCCATTGCTTAAAGTCTGACTTCCCGTTGTGCAGTTATAAGGTAGTGTATCGCACGAAAAGGATGATAATCTCTTCACTTACATGTCATACTTGGTAGTCTGACAAATATGTATGATTATTATTTAAATCGGCCAAGGAGGCTAGGTGTTTAAAGGTATATATGACATTATATAACTACCTGCCATATTTCACCCGATTGTAGGTATTATGACCATTATAAGGGGGATACAATGGTTTATAGCAGATCTTGATTTTCAGTGATGTGATTTGTCGATGATCAAGTAGTGGTGGTTCCATATCCTGTGTAAAGGACTAGGAAACTCATTATCGCTGATTTTTCCTCGTTCTTCAAGTCGACTTATGCTTGTTTCCTCTTGTCTGGAGTGTTCTAGAGTGTGTTCATTTCCTGGTATCGCTTGTTCTTACCTCACATATAAAATCTTTAACGCCTCATGCACACGTCCAGCCCATAGTGCTATATTGATATATCCAAACTGGACTATTAGCCAAAAACCCTCATACATCTTTCTGTCTTATTATCCACTGTCCAGGATGTATCCTTGGGTGGATCCCAGCAGTGGCTTCACAGGACCAGCCCATGGGGGGTGAATCTCAGCTATACATCATTCCCAGCACATTTTCACATTTCTGGCCACCTACTGTGGGAATTTCCCCACAACACCAAAAACATCGCCCATTTGGGAATCTCCACAATATCAATTATTCCCACACCCTCCCCACCTCACTGCAGCTTCACCACTACACCACAATAGGTCCCCCCTTGTATCTAAGTAGTAGTTTGGTATATATATGTATAATAAAATATAATAGACCGCTTTTTTTGTTTATTTGTGTGTCTCCTCCTCCTCCAGGGGCCATTCAAAATAGGTTAGGGTATAGAACACTTTCGCACTTTTGCCCCTTTAATAGGGAAGTGTTCTAGGATATTCAGACCATGTTTCAGAGTATATATGAAGAGATTTCAATCTTTATTTGACCCCCTGAAGCGTCCTACATCAATAGATATAGCATATATACAAGAAAATACAAAATGCGTTCTCATATGTTAATTTCTAGCCAGAGAGCCTTTGAAACACAATACCCAGCATCTATTCAACAGTATGAACAATGTATCAGGAGCTCAGGACCATAGGATAAAACCTTGTTGTGTAGTGCATCCCCCATCTCCTGGTGGTTTACCCCCTGTGAAAATTTTTCCTGTAGGACCGGACCTCAAGGAGGGTATGGTGTCCACTCCTATGTATATTTAGAGTATATCTATCACATATATACTCCAGGAAACCTATAGGATCCTTCTACAGGAACAAAAACTTGACAAATCACATTTTTCACATGTTTGATGTTTCTGACTACTCTATCCTTGCATTAATAATCCTACTCATTCATATATCATTAGCATAGCATATATACTTGCTTTTTATGACTAGGATCAGCTCAAAAGGGACCGGAGCTTTGAGCTATTACACATACTTGCTACTTGTACTGATAAGGGGCCCATACATTCCAAACATTGAAATCTACTAATCAGACACCTGTAGCACATTTCACATATATTCAGTATCATAGGACTAAATTTACAGAATGATCCAATCAGAAGTGCAAACTATGGAAGTGAAATAGATAAGAAATCAAATGTGGGAAACTTCAAATGCCCAAAACATCGAAAATGGGTAGTTGAGTATTTATAGGACTTTAATGCTAGGTCAACTCACTTTTTCACTACATCTCTTCCACCCGCCCTCTACCCTCAGGGCAGTGTGTATTATAGGTTCCTTATGTAGTCTACCATGTATCATACACATTTTTGATGAAATATTTGACCTGTATCATATATAAATGTGACTTTGTGTGAACAAATGTCAATTGTCACTAATTACACATATGTTAGTTTCCTTGGCATTCACTCAACCCTTGGTGGATCTTTCTCAAATGTTAAGGCTATCATTAGAGATATATATGAAAGGCAGCCCAGGTGTCTGACCACCGATAACACTCTTGATTACCATATGGGCTTCTAATCAGTAGAAATACCCCCTTTACATCAGATCTCAAATTTCCGCCCCATATCTAGCTGATCCTTAGCATAAGAAATAAATATGCATGTATTACTGATAGTCTATGAGTAGCTTGAATGATTTGTGGAATAATTGATATTGTGGAGATTCCCAAATGGGCGATGTTTTTGGTGTTGTGGGGAAATTCCCACAGTAGGTGGCCAGAAATGTGAAAATGTGCTGGGAATGATGTATAGCTGAGATTCACCCCCCATGGGCTGGTCCTGTGAAGCCATTGCTGGGATCCACCCAAGGATACATCCTGGACAGTGGATAACAAGACAGAAAGATGTATGAGGGTCTCTGGCTAATAAGCCAGTTAGATATATCCTCCCCCCACTAACACAAGAAACCGGAATTCTCAAAAGTCCACAGGGTCCACCTGTCTGTCCGCCTGTCCGCCTGTCTGCCAAGGGGGTCCGTCCATCTGTCCATCTGAAGTTCGCATTTTGACAACACAACCAAACAACACAATTAGATACTGAGATAAGGATGTCGCTGCCTTCTTGCTCTAACCACCATCATCCTCACTAGCGAGATGCCCACTGGCCTTCCTGCCCCACTCTTCATCAACATTATTACCTGGTCTTCATGACCTACAACAGTATGTTTGCCTGTATAGTTTTCCAAGTATGTCATTTGTCTTTCCATTGTCAATGCACGCCCAGTAACCTATACAGGTTTTTGCCTTCACTAATTGATACCCGCCCCCAGTCCACCATGTCTTTCTAGTCATGTCAACTTCAAGTGACTTGGGTGATGGTCCTCCGCTGGATTGGATGGTAGTATGTAATACATGTGGTGATGAGCTGGAGTGGTTTATATGTTGCAGCGATGAAAATGAAAACCAAGGGAGATGGATGGTCAAGGCAGGTTTATTTCTTTCACTCTCTATGTTCTGTTCCCTCACAGATGATCCTCCAGTGTACAAAACCTGATGGCGGCAAGAACACACACAGCAAAACCATGAAGCGCTGCCAGTTGTTCCGCTTCGCCTACCATCGAAAGGACAGCCCATCATCATCTCCCAAAGCCACAGATTCTCGTCATTGCAAATCACCGCCTCGAAAACTGAGGCCCAAAGTGAAGTGCTTCATTGTTGGCTACAGTTCTCATCAAGTCAATGTGCTCTGCTCGTGGTGTGTTTGTCGCAAGCACTGTCGTGCCTTAGGTGGCTATGAAGGGGTCGCAGATCACATTGATATGCATGGTCCATCAATGGAGAACCTCGAGCTGGATGATGAACCACACAACCTGCATGATGCCTGCACTTCTGCCATCTGCTCCCGCCGCTACCTCTGCTGACAAGGGCAAGGGCCGTGCAGTGTCTGAACTTGAAGACGACGAGGAGATTGATCAACTTATATCTTTGGATCCCCCTCCTGTCCAGGACACCGGCACATCTGGATCACGTACCCTCAACCCACCTGCAAAGTCATCAACTCTTCCACGATTTGCACGACAGATGCCACCACAGTTCACTCAACAAATCGCATGTGAGCAGTCGCTAGAGGAGGAAGACCGCTGTCGTGACACTGCACAGATAGAGAGTGCACGACGTGCCAGGTATAGTGTTACCATTTATGGGTTCTTAGAGGTATGTTTTTGGTGTATAATTATCTCATTTTGCTCACCAAGATCATTGTAGGATGGTGCCCCTGCCACATGCTTTGTCTTTCAATGCGGCTTTCAGTTTCCACATTTCTACTGCTCATACGAGGTCCTTGCAGAACTCAGGCTGCCCGCTGTCCATCACAGCAAAGTAGATCAGCTCGCTGTGGGGCCGTCTTTTCTCCAACTCCTCAACACATCAACACATCGTTGGCAGGGCATCCATCAAGACCATATGGTGGTTGTACGTGAGGGTGATGTGTTGTTCTTGAAGCATGCCCATGTCACAGATTGCCATGAACTGGATGACCTCCTTCTGTTTTTGTCACCATGCGCTGCAAGTAGTACTCAGCTGAACATGCGCACTCACCTTGCCGCTGACTGTGCTGTAGTTTGTGCTGCCAACCAAAAGAGCCAACAACCAGCTGAACTTAAACCATCGCCTCCAGCTCTCCCTTCCTGGTTGCAGCTTCCGCTGCCTCATACCTCACTAGTACTGTCATCAAGTGAATTTGAGGTTGACCAAATGCTCTATGCTAACTCGCCCTCACCCATTTGGAGGCCATGCACTGGTGGCATCCACAGCCGTCAACATAGTGCTAGCACTGATGCCCTTGACGAAGAACCTGCAAGTGACCAACCTGTCATCATCACAACTCACCGCAAGTGGCCAGCTCGTTGACGTTCATCCACACCTCTGATCTCACCATCACCTCCATGGAAACGTATTCAGCACAAACAATCTTCAGTCATCTTCTCTTCTCCGACAGTTGTACCAGGCTCTTTCCAGCAACCTTTTGATGAATGTCTGTGTGCAGGTGCACACTCACCTACACCCTCACAGGAACTTTCCTCTCCAGAACTCCCACCTCGACGCCAGCACCAAATTGAACATGTGGGACCCTCACACCAGTGCCAGTGCCAAGTCTCTGAGTCACTCGGAGACACTCCTGTACCACATCGTCATCGCCAATGCACACACCAGGTCTCTGTCGAGTCACTTTCATGGGAGGAGCATGGTGATACACTTTCAGATGCTATCAACATTGATGAGATCAAGGCTTGGCCCACTGATTTCTCCATCGTTGAAGTTGTCAAAGGGTTTGGGATCTGTGAACTTGCCAAATGGTTGAAGAAATCCACTGTCAAAGTTGCATTCGAGGCGCATTTCCACCTACCATTCAAGAAATCCACCTTCCACGACAACCGTGCAAGGTGGTTCCGTGCACCTCAGACACTTCATGACAAATACATGCGGAGCAGTGCAAAGCCTGCACTATGGCCTGTATTCTTGACTAAGTATCGTGCATGGGAGCTTAGGGCAGTCTAGATGCTAGTATCTTCATTCATTCGTTTTGTATCATTTGTAACGAGTCTAGACACCAGTTATTGATTTGTAATGAGCCTTTCATGTAGTATGTTCTAAAGATTTGATGGACTCCCACTGCGACAGCCTCCAGTGCTCCCTCTTCAACTTCTCTAATGTAAGGCGGTTCCTGCACAGGATGACCTCATCTAGGTAGAAGTCAAACTTAATGGGCTTCATCCCTCGAGTGATTGAGTTGAACTTCCCAAACCACGAGTTTGTCTGCTCACACACAGACGAGTTGAAGTACCACTTCCCATCACCATCAACTGTAAGCTCTGGGAAGGCCATGGGGTTGCAATTTTCTTGACAAAAGAGGTCGTTCTCAGAGTGCTTGCAATTGAAATGAAAGATGTCAACGGATAGGCCAATGTCGTTGAAGAATGGGTCATCTTTGACGTGCTGAGCAAGATGGCAGTTGTTATCATAGAAAATATGTGACGGTCTTGTCAGTGGATCTGGAAAGGCTTTTTTGATGAACACCTACTAACAGTTCAAGTAGCTGCAGTGCGACGACGTAGAAGAAAACATACCGCAACACTGCCAACACCTTCGGCGCAGTAAAATGTTCATCGGTCATGTATGATCCCACACGGAGCAACAATCAACACCTCACAGTGCATGCGTGTCATATCCCATACCTCCGGATCCGGAATTCCAGATCTACTCCATTAAAGTCCGGTCCTCCATCTTACTATTCCGCCCGGTGCTCCGCCTTCATCTCTGCACTCACCCCTAACTCCTTTTAGATTAGCTATTGCTCTGGTTACCGGTTATGTTCTTTCCGCTATGCTTATTGATCCGTCCATTCCTACTTCATTTCCAACTTCACTGCTTTGATCCGCTACACTTAGTAATAGACTTTCCACATGCTTCGTACATAGCCCTTACCTTTGCTGACTGATTTACTTACATGTTACCTACAGTATATAAACCCCTGTAATACTCTGGAACTCCTGAGTTCGAATATCATCTTAGTTCTGCTCATTCCTGCAATCTCCAGACTTGAGTCTCATCTCTTGTCCACCTCCGAGTCTTAGGGGTTAAACCTTAGGACTACTTCTCCGACTCTACCTGAGGGTAGTCTAACCTCTGTTCAGTTTCTACTCCAGACTTCCATAGTAGCCTTACTCCGTCCCAGTATAAACCTTCTGGAGTTCCGCCGAACTCCACCGACACTAAGTCCTCCGGAACTCCCCGGACTTCCCCTCTGTCCCCCAGAAATTAAAGGGCACATACTCAGGTAAGGGGCGCAGCACACGAGCTGAAGCCAAAGCCCTTTGAGTAACCTCTCCCTTGAGCACGACCTTAACAGTGTGGTTGCATCCAAACTGAGCTTGAAGTTTCTTCTTCTTCCTCTTCTTCTTCTTCTTCTTCTTCTTCTTCTTCTTCTTCTTCTTCAGCGCTGGCAAGCAATCTTGGCTATGATCCACCTCAAATTCTTGCAGGCCTTCATCTGACATATCACCGTCAGGTACAGTGCTCTTAGGAATCACATGAGCAGGATTATCCATGATGGCACGAGACCGCTCAAGTCGTTCACGAAGCTGGAAATGTGATTGACCACACAAGGTGTGCAGCGCCTCAACAGCCTTGTGGTTTGGGTCTTGACATGTCTTGCTGCCTGGGGTAATACTGTTGGTGCAGCTGATGATTGCGCACTGGTTCCCATGCTCAGCCATATGCAAATGACAAAAGCAGTCATTTACTGACCGCAGAGACTCAAAGCAGTAAAGAACCGAGCAGCATGGTCTGCTGACTGTGACCCCATCAACAACAACAATGCGAACGAATTGTGCAGCTGTAGAGACAAAAAATATGTCAATGAGATTGTCAACAGTTTAATTTATTGACGGATACTAGACCTGCATCAGTAGAAGCTTCATATACATGGCAACACTTTGTGCATTTGTGACGGTGAGCATCAGGCTGCCCGAAGGAATGCATACGCTGGTTGCGATGTGCCATGGCATCATTGAACCACTCTGATTGAGTCCCGGTCTGTTTGACAATGAGGGAGCGCTTGCGATGACAGCAGTCCTCGAGAAGAGAGATAATTATGAAAATATCCCAAACATGGTCCAGTGTGACCTCAGGCGAAGGCCACTGAAGAGGAAACTTGTTTTGATGGCTGACAGAAGAGTTGTATATTCGGGCACAGTTAGTTCCCAATGTACTTGAGATATGATCAGCAACCAGACTTAGACAGTGTGGCAATGTAAACACACCAAGCGACGCGCATCATGGTCTTCCAGAGCTGACCCACCCGAATATTGACATAGTGGTGCGTACCAACTTGAATGGCATCAGGCAGTCCTTCTGTGTAGTCATAGTAGATATGGTCCTTATCACTGACTTTGTAATTGTGGTGATAAGTGATTTTGCAGCCTGGCACCCATTCAACATTGACTTTGGCTAGCTACAATGAGACAGATGTAACATGCACATTCACATTGCATTGCAACATCATATGCAGGCATCATCCCATGTTCGAGACTCACATACACAACTTGGACTTGTTCAACCTTGTTCAAAAGCAACCCATTTGCTCGTCGTTCACAAGTTGCTTCAGTGCACATCTTGAATGGAGGGTAGAATGTCTTGTAGGCTACATGATCCTCCATCAGTAAAAAGACTTGAGTCAAATTCACACCGGCACTGACTCAGGCCATGGGGATAACCGAATTTTTCGAACAGCGAGTGGGTGTTGTGCTGCAGCGTGAATATGTCTTTCCAGATATCATGTTTTAAGGTGGACCAGCAGATTCGCACTGAGTCTTGTGTCAGGGAGCATGTGGAGCCCAAAAACAAAGACATGCTAGGACTCGATTATTTGCGGGCAATTGTGCCGGCATAACCTGCAGAAGTGGCAGAATCACCACCTCTGCTGGTTGGCAAAATTTTCAAAGTGCTACAAGGCCATGTGTATGACAATGTATGGTAAGTGTCACTAGGAAACACCATTAGAACACATCAGCACATCCACATCCCACAGTCTGTTGTTGTGTGAGGTGTGATCAACTACCATTATCTCGTCGTCAACAGATTTCAGTGCAAGACCTTGGTCGACATGCTCCAATTCTGCAAAATCATAAACTCAGCCCTCCAACACTTCATTTCCGTCAACCGGCACTCGTTCCATGGCTTCTTTCTTGTGTTCCAGTAGCATAAATGCGGTGTCGATCTCATCGAGTGATATAGATTCAGGACCTGCAAGATCATCATTGAGGTTCTGAGTCTGAGGTGCAAGTGGTGGCGCCCATGCAAAATTGGCTTCTAGATCAGCAGCTACATCAACATTGATGCCTGGCTGGGCACTGGTGTGCATGTGTGCATGATGTCGACAAATTGGTTTGTCATTAACCACGGCCTTTTGATGACTGTGGTAGCGAAGATTTGTTCAAATCTTCGCCAGTGCTTTGAATGTGTTGACTGAGAGATTGCAATGCTTCGGAGACTGAGTGCTACCCATATCTGAGAAGAGGTGTTCGACATCAGCGGTGTGGGGAATGATGGATAAGAGTGTGATTGCAAGTGCTTTCAGAGGATGTCCGTTAGCGCTGACTGCGAGACTTTCCCACATGCTAATCCATCGGCATGTCCACCTGAAAATGGTGCACGACACAGATTATATGCTTTGAGGTCATCAACGAGCAGTTTGGCCTTTTGCTCTTCCCATCGCCATTGTTTAGCGACAGCGAGTGCAGTTTTAACCATGAAATCAAATGGTCTTCCTTTTGAGGCATCTGTCACAGCAAGTTTGCGACACATTGGATGGAGGAAGAGTGCGAGAGAATGGAGGTCAGTGTTTATTGCATGGAACCGATGGTTGAAAACAGATTTTGTGTGCATCCAGAAGCCAGTGTCATCATCCTCAGCATCAAGTTTCAGCTGGGACATCTGCCTCGCACAGCGGATAAGCTCCAACATGCAATCAGCAAGTGTAGCTTCACGTGACTCCAAGTTCCCGATTGCATCAACCAAGAATTTAACTGTCTTCACGAGCTGATCGAGCAGTTTCCAGTACTGAACATCATGGAGTACCGTTGCAACAACTGCAGGGGCAACTGGTGTCTGATTGTTGGTTCTTTTCTGGGCATTGGGACGCAAACATGTATGCAACAGTGGACTCCTGTAGGTGTGGTTTTGTCAGGATATGAACATCAAGTTTGAAATTGGCCTACCGGTAGGCAAGGACACTCATGCTTTGTAACACGAGTGCATAAAATCGAGACTCACAGTTTTGTTTCATCTTCCGATTGATACCCTGCTTCTTTGCTTCGCCATTGAGTTGCCCGCCCCAGTAGTGAGATGAATTGAAGAAGTTCACAATATATGTCAACTTTGATACAATTTGCTTCATCAGTGGGAATGAGCATATCTCGCCAATGAGGGTGTTTAAGCTATGGAGGAAACACAGGAATGTCTATATTATTGACATATCAAACCACGACAAAGTCTGCAGGGAAGACAACACTTATGAGAACCCAAAAGTAAGATTCCTGAAATTTTCAGCGGAAAGCCTGCATAACAGTGGGATTGTCTGTCGTCACAGCTATGACTCACTTTCCATCATCAATCTCCATGGTCCTCATTGCCTTTTTTGATGCAATGAGCAGGTTATCTGCAGTACCTCGGCTGCCAGTCATGTCCTCAAGAGCGAGGACCACAGGAAGCTGCTTCACCTCAACTGCAACTGACCCATACAGACTTCTCTTCAGTATGTCTTCCCAACCATCGAGCAGAAGAGTGAGTCGGTTTCGTACTTTGAGCCGGTCAATTTCTTCTTGTTGGACACACACTGATTCAGTGTCCATCAGTGTGTGTGATAGCATATATCGGGAAGGTGCCGTATATGATGGTTGAATCTCATTGAGGAATTCAAGGAAGTAGTCATTCTTGCCTGCGGAAAAAGCTATATTAGCATTGATTATGAACCTAAAGCCAGTTCATTACGCTTTGAGTATCATTGATTGACTGATGGAGCCATACTTACCGCAACAGCTTGACATTCGCACAAGAATGCTGCTCCTTTGTCAGGGGGTAATCCACAAAGCCATTCAAAGTGCACTTTTTTTTGGCATTTACCAAGCACAACCAGTTCTGAACTGCCTTGTGGGGTAGGAGAGGCATCAATCTTATCAGAATTAATGAATTCTACGGCATCTTCTCCACCGGCCTTGCCCATAACAAACATGCGCACCTGTTTTCGTATTTCCACCAGACATGTTTTACACTTGTGAATAAGGTGGTTTGGGAGTTGGTTGTCACGACCTTGGATGCGAAGAGCATCTGGACAGTGTTTGCAGGACCAGTAGTAGCGTCCAGATTTGTTGTCGACCTTCTCGCCATGATTAAAATTGTCGGTTATGAAGGATGAGACAGGGCGTCCAGCAAGTGCGGCGGCAGACATTGTGCAATTGTAGATTGACTACGTAGTACAGGCTGTACAACTGGATTTTTTTTCTACTCTACAGATAAGGAAGTGCAGTTGCTCTAAGTCAATCGAAAATGGTTATTATGGCCATATAAGGCGAAGAAAGTTATTAGAACATCTTTCGCTGTGATCCCCCATAGTTTGACATTCTGCCTGATTCTGCCCACAGAATACAGAATCCTGCCGTCTGCCGGGCAGAACCGGTTTGGCAGAACCGGCTGGCAGAATGGCGGACTTATGCCCACAACACTAGCTAGGAGGCATGAAGTCCGGAGGTGTAGATACATCATATGTTGCAAGCTGTGCTAATATCATATCTTCCTTGACAGCAGAGGCCAACGTAACAAAGGTCAGAATAGTCTCGAGTGAGAGTCCATGAATATTTGAAAGTGCTTGGCCTAAACATACGAGCTCAACCATTGTGGCAACTGATCAATACTACGAGCCGCACTACTACTAGCCGCAAAAAATGCTATGTTTGGTGCTATTTGTGGTCGGCCAGATCAGGCAGACAGACCGGACAGACGGACGGACAGACGGACGGACCAGACTTTCGAGAAACCAGGTGCCCTCCACTAACAGGTGACGCATCTCACATACCCCTGCATGAAGCGTCATCACCATCATCATGCTTCTGCTCTTTTCTCGTTAAACAGGCGGTCCTGGTTACAGTTGTACAAACATTGTACTGTATATCACGCAATGAAACACATTTTATCCCCACCAGAACAATTCTGCCAGGATTTTAAGCATTCCACTTGTGCTGTTCAGCTTCCAACAATCCAATCAGCACACACTCGCAACTGGTTACTGCATCTCTGGTACCGGTTAAATCACTACATCCTCGGTCCATTGGTGCGTCTTACTGTCATTGTCATTGCACCTTGTACAGCTGGCAAGGTATGTATGAGTGAACGATTCGCTTATGCGATTTAGTCGGTCAGACATCACCTCTATCCGAGTGCACACGGTGCAGTCTTTCTTCAATCTCATCTCGATAATGAGTTCAATGGTGGTGATCCAGTGGGTATTTCGACCGCTATTCTCACTCTGTCGATGTACTTTGTACTAAATGGGATTCCTTTTGCTGTATGCAGCATGGTCATCTCGTATCTATGGCGCTGGATCTGTTCAACTATTCTTCACATGCAAAACTCACACACGCACAGACGCCACACACACACAAACGAGACGCACACATAATCACTCCTTCGCATACAGATTCTTGTATTGTAGGAAAATTAGTACTGCACTATGATCATTCATAAAATTCATTGATGCCCCAAGGTATCCAACTCTGCACGTGTCAACATTGGGCCAGGCTCCGTGATCAGAGCTGCCAACAACTGCTGAGCCGATCTTGAAACGCCTCGCAAGGCTGGTGTGAGGTTGAAAGAGTCTAGTGAGGCCTTACGAGACGAGTATGCGCACCTTGCATAATGACGAACAAATACATTCAAGCCTCGGAAGGCATCATGTGGCCGTGGGAGACTCTCCGGACCTTGCCAGACCTTGTTAGATTTGGGCACTTTTGCTGATGGCCCTTCTCATCGACACTTACATCAAGGATCCACCCAGCGCGAACATCTTTTTGACACCAATACTGGCAGCTTTCCGTCTTCTTTTCTCGCTCTCGTCCACCAGCCGAGGCTTTGCTGCCAATGCTGGCGGCTTCGGTGCATTTTTTTTGCCCTTGGACTCTACTTGATTGGCGCTTATAGAACCCTTCATTAGCAGCCTTGTCTGCAATATAAATTGATCATCACTCCGCCTCGTCCACCGGCCAGGCCTTAAAAAGATTCGAGGCTTTGCTGCCAATGCTGGCGACTCTCAGTGCGTTTCACTCCGAGACCTACCCACTTCTCATCGCTCCATCTCGTCTACCAGCCGGGCCTCAAAAAGATTCGTTTATAGAACCCTTCATCAGCAGCCTTGTCTGCAATATAAATTGATTATCGAATCATGTCAGATCCAATAGTGCAGTACTAATTTTTCTACGGTACGAGAGTGTGTATGCGACGGAGTGATTATGTGTGTGTCTCGTTTGTGTGTGTGTGGCGTCTGTGCGTGTGTGAGTTTTGCATGTGAAGAATAGTTGAACAGATCCAGCGCCATACGTATCACCTTCGGAAACTTGAACCACACCGACAACCGCTCTGGCAGAAATCTTCAGTTCCTTCATCAGCTCCATCTGCCTTTATTCTACACATGCAACTGCTCTCTTGTCAGGCGGTACAATATATGTGCACATAAATCAATAGTAGTGTCAACCAGTCAACTATGAAGCAAGTCAGTCAACACGGAACACAAACTGCATGCTGGGTATGGAATAGGTAATGAATCATACAGTACACTCGATATCGTATCGTGTCTAACACATAATGAATTCCGTGAACGACATCATTGTTAAGAAAGTCTACAAGAGTCGATGTTAGCAGCGGCAAGCGACAGACAAGGTCATGAGCTCACTCAGCTCGGCAATTCTGCCAGTGTCGTCCATGTGCCATGCAACTCAAATCGAGCTCTACACGTGGTGTGGGTATCGTGAATACAGTCCGAGGTGTATAGAATGGGTGGCGGGAAGCAGGTGGTACCCAAAAGAGGAGGCGACCTTTGGGTCCCATCATCCATCCGTCAGCTTTCAGGACAAAGGAGGTCGACCTTCGGTCATCAGGGGAAGTGCCTCGAGCGAGCTCGGCAGCGTCGGACAGTGCATGATTTGAGCTGGATGAGAAACGAATGAAGTTGTTGTTCCAAGGATGTGTTGAGACCACAGTGCTGTCCTCCATGGGAACCGTGATTTGAGATGTATCCAGGGATGTGTTCTCTGTGCAATCTTGCAGTGGTTGCCCAACTGCAGCATACCAGGCCCGGACAGTCTCATCCCAAGAATGAGATACAATGCAAGTGCCATCCGGTGAAAACGAGATTGATTTAACAATATTAGTGTGCCCTCGCAAGGGCGCACCAACCGGCTGCCCTGTCACTGCATCCCACAGCCAGACAGTTTCATCCGAAGAAACAGTTGCGATGCGAATTCCATCTGGCGAGAACTTGACTGAGCGCCCTGGCAAGGGCTCACCAACTGGCTGCCCCGTCGCTGCATCCCACAGCCGGACAGTTTCATCCGAAGAAACAGTTGCGATGCGAATTCCATCCGGCGAGAACGAGACTGAATACCCTGGCAAGGGCTCACCAACTGGCTGCCCTGTCGCTGCATCCCACAGCCGGACAGTTTCATCCTGAGAAGAAGTTGCGATGCGAATTCCATCCAGCGAGAACTTGACTGAATGCCCTGGCAAGGGCTCAAGAACTGGCTGCCCCGTCGCTGCATCCCACAGCTGGACAGTGTGATCCGAAGTAACAGTTGCGATGCGAGTGCCATCCGGCGAGAATGAGACTGAACGCCCTGGCAAGGGCTTACCAACTGGCTGCCCCGTGGCTGCATCCCACAGCCGGACAGTTTCATCCCGACAAACAGTTGCGATGCGAATTCCATCCGGCGAGAATGAGACTGAACGCCCTCGCAAGGGCTCACCAACTGGCTGCCCTGTCGCTGCATCCCACAGCTGGACAGTGTGATCCGAAGAAACAGTTGTGATGCGAGTTCCATCTGGCGAGAATGAGACTGAACGCCCTGGCAAGGGCTTACCAACTGGCTGCCCCGTGGCTGCATCCCACAGCCGGACAGTTTCATCCCGACAAACAGTTGCAATGCGAATTCCATCCGGCGAGAACGAGACTGAACGCCCTCGCAAGGGCTCACCAACTGGCTGCCCTGTCGCTGCATCCCACACCCGGACAGTTTCATCCTGAGAAGCAGTTGCGATGCGAATTCCATCCGGCGAGAACGAGACTGAATGAACCGGAGCAGTGTGCCCTCGCAAGGGCTCACCAACTGGCTGCCCCGTCGCTGCATCCCACAGCCAGAAAGTATTGGCATCCGAAGTAGTCACCATGCGAGTTCTATCCGGCGAGAAATAGACTGACTGAACAGAATGAGTGTGGCCCTCTAAGGGTTCAGCAACCGGTTGCCCCATCATTGCATCCCACAGCCGGGCAGTGTGATCACAAGAACCAGACACAATGCGAGTTCCATCCGGCGAGAATGAGATTGACTGAATCCCATCAGTGTGACCCAGCAAGGGCTTACCGATTGGCTGCCCTGTCGCTGCATCCCATAGTCGGACAGTCTGATCGAAAGAACACGTGGCGATGCGCATCCCATCCGGCGAGAACGAAACTGACAGAACAAAACTAGTGTGCCCTCGCAAGGGCTCACCAACGGGTTGCCCCGTCGCTGCAACCCACAGCCGGATAGTCTTATCCCAAGAAGCAGACACAATGCGAGTGCCATCCGGTGAAAATGAGATAGATGTAACCTCCTCAGTGTGGCCCAGCAAGGGTTTACCAACTGGCTGCCCTGTCGCTGTATCCCACAGCCGAACAGTCTTATCCTCCGAACCAGTCGCAATGCGAGTTCCATCTGGTGAGAATGAAACTGAGCTAACTGAATGAGTGTGTCCTTCCAAAGGCATTCCAACTGGTTTCCCCGTCGCTGTATCCCACAGCCGAACAGTCTTATCCTCCGAACCAGTCGCGATGCGAGTTCCATCCGGCGAGAAAGAGACTGAGAGAACTGAATCAGTGTGTCCCTCTAAGGGCATTCCAACTGGTTGCCCCGTCGCTGTATCCCACAGCCAAACAGTCTTATCCTCCGAACCAGTTGCGATGTGAGTTCCATCCGGCGAGAACGAGACTGATTTAACACGACCAGTGTGACCCTGCAAGGGGTCCCCGACTGGCTGCCCCGTCGCTGCATCCCACAGCCGGACAGTCTTGTCCCCCGAACCAGTCACGATGCGAGTTCCGTCTCGCGAGAACGAGACCGATGTAACAACATCAGTGTGGCCCCTGAGCACGCTCTGAGCAGCCGCCCAGTGCAAATCACGTCCACGTGCCACACGAAGAGTCTTCGGAAACCTTGCAGTGAATTGTGAGGATATCGCAGAGTTGACCGGAGCGAATGGTAGAGCTGATACATATAGATGTGGTGTGCTGTGCATAATCATGCTGCCGAAAATTTGAACGAATCTCTGTACATCCATCGCAGTCGACGAGGCATCTTTGTATTCGGAATGCCTCTGTCGTGCGCGTTAGCGTGTCTGACAGTGGTCGATAAACATGTCCTCACCTTCAGCCACTGGGCAACAGCCGGAAGGGCTACAACTGCGCCGCTGAGTGCATTGGTAAGGCCGAGTACTTCGAGCCAGAAGAGCAGTCGCTCGTGGTCGAAAAACAATTTCACTTCCTTTGCTACCTCTATATCGAAGCCCTGCGTTGATACATGCGCAGCCCAGAATCGACAGGCGTAGGATAGGTGTGGGGGAATGCACCTCTCAACTCGTTCTCGCAGATCGGGATCTTCAGAATTAGGGAGGTATGATGATTTTATACCACATATATTAAACGAAAGTCCATGTGCCATCACTCGAAGTGATGCAAAAGCAAGGTCGCGGTGCACCTTCGACACGTCGATAAAAAACTCTCCACTGCATAGTGGGTCCGTCAGAAAATCGCGAAAGGATGCGTGAAGGGGCCGAATTGGGGTAGATGGGTCGGTGGTGCCGCTGAGGAGGGGTCCCATGTGTTCTACTATGATCTCCACTTCGTATTGGTCTCTTTTGTCTGGAAAATGGTTCCGCGTGGCGTTAAGGGAATTTAAAGGGAGGGGTTCGGCTGCGCCAAGGATTTGTCCCATCACGGAGCGGAACCTCACTAGCCGTGTCTGCTGAAACTCCGCGGTTGCATATGTATCCTGTCGCATGATTTCCGTCAGAATGAAGTGATACATCCCATACAGCAAGTGTTCCCGAGAAGCAGGATCGAGGGATACCAGAGCGTTGAAGGAATCCCTTCGGGACATGCCAGCAGGGGGCGCTTTGATGTATTCACAAGCAAGACGCCCCCACTCGAACATGCCGTCCGCTTTCTTAGCTAGGGCTGCGAACTCCTTGCCGCCGAAATGCAGGAGCCCTGCCAGCTTCTTCGATACGTAAGCGTGGATATCGCGCTGTGCGGTGGCTGGTGGAATGTTGTCCATCGAAATGCGTAGAATATGCTGAGCGCCAGCAAACTCGTCACAGATGTCGCGTAGCGGGCGAGAGGTAACAACAATCCGGAAGTTCTTTGGGAGTTCCGTGATTTTGGGAACAGCAGGGTCCTGAAATTTACCGGCAAGAATGCGCAGAAGGTCGCTTCGTGTCTTGGCTGCACCACTCTCGTCCAGCGCGTCGATAACGATCACGACAGGTCCCACAGTTGACTCGGAAAGCTTCCCTAGCGGCTCCATAATAAACTTCTGCCACTGCTGGACAACATCCTCTGTCTTCTGGAGCGCAGTTTCATTCTTAACTGCGTCCGCCAGCGCTCGTCTCATCTCCGGATGACGGTCAGCCAGGTCGCGCGCGATGGTTGAGAAGACTTTTTCATGCCGATTCTCCGTGCTTTTTTCCCGGTCGAAGCAGTAGCACGAACCAAGCCCCCCCACATCCTTGAATGAGCTAGCGATCGTGTGAGCAATGGCTGATTTTCCCGTCCCAGCAGGACCAGATAGCCATAGCACGCGCGGAACATCATCTCCGGTGTCGTTGATCCATCCCATTATCTCAGAGAGCATTTCTGTGCGAGTCTCTGGTAGACATCGCTTCGTGGTGTTTAGTCCTGCGCCCTCCGCATAAGTTATACCGCTGAGGTCCAGTATTTCGCCTGAAAATGTGTAAATGAATGTCAAGTCGCAAGCACGACCGAATCCTTACCCGTTCGGTGAACGAAGATGGCGACGTCGTGAGCGACTTGGTCCCGGAAG